TGCACGCAGGCACATGACATCACCACGTACACTATTTAACATGGCTTTGCTTATTATATCAAATATGCTTAACAGTATTGCAAGCATGTCAGGGCACGTCATTTTGGCCACTTTTGAGCTGGGACCCGCCCCCACTGGTCACAGACCACACACAGGCAAGGAACTCTGATCCTGATCAGAAGTCTCAATCCCCCAGCTCTAAATAGGATGTTCCACTTTGCGCACAGGAATTTGTGGAACATCTCTCTGGTGTCTCTCTGGTCTCTGCTCAGATCTCTGTTTGGTCTCACTGGACATTATTGGACAATGATTGGGAAACAACGTTGTGTTAACATTAGGGCTGTCAAAATTATTGAAAAAATAACACATGTACAAATGACCCGCCCATGCATCCCATAATAACACTCAGAATGCTGCGGACACATGCGTGTGTGAGATGGCAACAGAGCAGGTAGGCCCTCTGGGAATACAAGTTAAAAAAAATATGCGCGTGACCACGGGACACTTGAGTCTGCATCCTCCGTGGCCGCAGTGTTCTGACCCCGGGCAGCTGTGGCCGCTCTGGACAGAGGTTCCCACCTCCAGCGGCTGTCGCTTTGACAGCGGACATCACCGCCGTAGCCTCACGCTCACAGGACTTTTCTCTTCTTGTTGTGTGCGTGTCTTTGCATAACCTGTGCATGAGGCAATAAATACACCTCTGTCGCTGAACGACGGAGCCTCAGTCTCCTCTGTGTTTTTTTCCGAAGCCCACTCGCTAAATTAAAGCTGGGGTATCTAATTTTTCCCTTCCACTACCAGTTCATGTTGGTTGTGCCCAAAAGTAAAATGTTGTTGGCTGATAAAACTCAGACTTTTTTTAAATGTCCCTCATCCCTGTAACAAACAATAGTTTTGGTCTGAATCTACTACAGAAAGACAGAATGTTGATAATGTTAATGCCGTTTTTTGTGGATTTATTGTTGTTATAAAAAAAACATACAGTACATATGTACATTATGTTGTCATTTATCTTTCCATTCAAAGAACCATATAAAATATAGCATAATTTTGCAGATAGTTAGCAATGCGATTAATTACGATTAATTAATGTTTAAGCTGTAATTAACTTGATTACAAAATATATTTTTTGACAGCCCTAGCTAACATACATAATCTCTGAAATGGCTGGGTGCATTCATTTGACCGGACCAGGACCAAACCAGGTCTGGAGCAGGTCTGAACCAGGTTTAATCCCGTTAATTACAGCGGCCTGGATGATGAGATTAAATCCAGGCCTCACTCTTATTGGTGGATGTGTGTCTCATGTGTCTGAGCGTGGTGTCTAAATCCACTCGTCTTTAAGATGCAGCAGCACCGCCACTATCCACTAAGGGGCGAACTGCCCAATACTCAGAACTTTGAGGATTCTCTGCTTCTCTTACGCTCGATCATGGATGTTTTTAGAGTGAGATGACTTGCTTCACCACAGATATGACTTGTAACTTAGTGAAGTCACATGCTTGTGTCTAATGTAAAATACAGTGCATGACTGTTGGACCAGGGATTAAGATCCATTGGTTGAAGAAGATTGGTTGAAGCCCGCGTCAAAGCTTCAAAAGCTCAGCTTTGCTCAGCTTCGGCGTCAAAGGGATTGTTTTGATACGCGAGCTTTACGCGCATCAAAAGCTTCAAGTGAGCGTGTATTACGCGCGACTTTTGAAGCTTTTGACGCGCGCCAAGTGACGCCGGGGCTCTCGGCTTCACCTGATGCGGTTCACCATTCACTTTCAATGCAAACCTGACGCTTTTGAAGTCGAAGTTAAGTCCGGTGTGAACGCGCCTTTAGCCATATGTCTGTGTACTTAACAGACTTTACTCCTGTTTTCTTAAGTCTCAGTTTATTGTGATGTATCTACTTTGAGTAGTATTCTAATGTCAAATGTTTGGTTTTGCTGCTGATTTATAGTTCAAAGTTTATTCTATTGCTAGTTTATTATTACTTACCCTATTGTGCACTTGACAATCTGCCGCTGCGTCTTGCGCAAAAATTAAAGGGCATGTCCGTTTAGGAGCACCCAAATAAGTGCTGTATTTTTCTAATATTGCGTTATAGACCCAATTTATAGCTGTTATATGATTATAGTATATGTCTTGTTGCTATGTACAATTATTGCATCTGTTATTTATTGCAAATTTTACGTTTATTTCTGTTTCACATGTAATATCGGTGTTTTTGGCCCACTGGCAAATTTTTACTTTGGCCCTTGGAGCAAAAGGTTTGGGCACACCTGCTCTATGGTCTATTTTTGGTCTAACTGGTTTCTCCTTGGTCTAATGAAGATGGAGGGCCCGGTTTTTGTCACCGTACGGAAGCTTGTCAGGTTCACTTGTGAGTGTGTTTTTTTTCCCGCTGGTATCATGTTATTTCATGATACTTTCATGAAATAACATGATAAATATCATGTAATTTCATGATACACAACTATCATGTTATTTCATGAAACACAACTATCATGTTATTTCATGATACCAATTTATCATGTTATTTCATGATACCAATTTATCAGAAGAAGCTGACAGCTTTTTCTTCTTCTGTATCTACAGTATCATGTTATTTCATGATAAACTGGTATCATGAAATAACATGATAAATTGGTATCATGAAATAACATGATAGTTGTGTATCATGAATTAACATGATAGTTGTGTATCATGAAATAACAATAGTTGTGTATCATGAAATAACAAGATAGTTGTGTTCATTATACCTTCATGAAAGTATCATGAAATAACATGATACCAGCGGGAAAAAAACACACTCACAAGTGAACCTAACAAGCTTCCGTATCACCGAGTACAATATTTGAGACAAGAAGGGCAGGGGATGTGTTTGCTTCAGAAGTTCCTGATATTAAGGTGGATAGATCTAAAAACAACTCCAGGTTTGTGACTGATGATAAACAATATTTCAACATAGAGAAAAAGATGATTTTGCCAAAATTGTTATCTTAACTTAGAAGCATATCTTGCGTTTCCACCGCAGGAACTTTGGGGTAATTTTACAGGGCGAGCCCCGTTGGTGTGTGTCTCCACTACAGGAACCTCCCACACAGGGCCATTTACAGGAACTTTTACGGGGTCCAACGGAGTACCCACTCCATGCTAGGTACTCCGTTAGGCCCTGAACAGCTCCTGGGTGGGGCTTGAGGTTAACCCAGTGCTAGTTGGCTAAAGGTAGAGGAGGCTTTAGTGGCTTTGGTGCCGTAGAGTTTGAGGCATCGCAGCAAAATGAAAAAAATATAAGACATATCCGATGCGCTGGGAATCCATTACATTCAGAAACAATGCCGTGATAAGTTAAAAAAAACTGAAACAGGACTATAAAAAACTCAAAGACCACAACAACTGGAGCGGTTCTGACCGTAAAATAATTATTAATTACGTGGCGATCAAAGCTCATGACGTCGCCGAGGGGCACAGCCACCGAGAGGCAGGGCTGGACTGGGACAACAAAACGGCCCGGGCATTTTTTCCTTCTTACCGACCCAGGCATGTTTTTGTCACGTTTTTTACAGTTTGTTTATACCAGGGATCGGCAACTCAAAAGGTTCAAAGAGCCATATTTGACAAACCAACTAAAAACATCTGTCTGGAGCCGCAAAAAAATAACAGCCTTGTATAAAGCTTATATGAAGGTTACACAATGCTACATTAGCTACATTAGCCTATTATCTAAATAATAATAATAATAATAATAATGCATCGGTTTTATATAACGCTTTTTTGGACACTCAAAGACGCTTCACATGTGTCATTATTCATTCACTCCATACACGGTGGTGATAAACTACTACTGTAGCCACAGCTGCCCTGGGGCACACTGACAGAAGCGAGGCAACCAGTATGCGCCATTGGCCCCTCCGACCACCACCAACCATTCATACACACACCAGACTCATTCTAGGCAATGGGGGTGAAGTGTCTTGCCTAAGGACACAACGGCAGTTTGGCACTTTACAGCCGCAGCCGCCCCACTGTGGCACCTGCTGTTCCCAGAGGTTAAGTGTCTTGCCAAGGACACAACGACAGTAGTCAGTGGGAGTCGATGGTGAAAGTCTTGAGCGGGTGCACTAAAGGTTGCCGACACCTGTGGAAGCATACTGTAGAGGATCAGGATGTCTACAGTTTCAACAAAAAAATAAAGTGCAATAGTCTATATTACAAGAGAGTAATAAACATGTCTCAGAGTGAGGGAGGTGGACACAGACATGAGAATTGGTCAAAAAAAGTCTGAAATGCATAATGTCAGCCATTGGCTGGCTCTAAATCTGTTTAATTTTTTCACAACATTTTACTTTTGGGCTCAAACATGAACTTTTAATGCAATGGAAAATTTAGGCACCCGAGCTTTAATTTAGTCGCACTTCGAGAGGAGAGGGGAGACGCGGACTGTTTCCTGCAGCGGTGTATTTATTGGGTGCACAAATTACGCAAAGACATGCATGGTCCTGTGCGCGTTTATGGTCTTGGGTACATGGTCACGTTGCGGCTACGCGCTCACCGTGTTGTGTTGTGAGCGGCTCCCGGTGAGCGGTTCCCGCGTCCAGCTCAGAGCCGCTGGATGCGGGAACACTGCGGCCGCTGAGGTGGTGGAATCCCGTTCGAGTACATACAGCAGGTGCCCCGCGGACACGCGCGCCCCCTCGAACATTTCTCAACGGATTTACACTTTTCACAAACATCTTTTTTGTATGAGGCAAACAGACCGGCCCAAATATGGGCATCGGCCCTTCTGGCATTGCCCGGTACGCCCGATAGCCAGTCCAGCCCTGCCGAGAGGACAAGTGAGAGGACGGTTCCTGCAGATTTCCCACCCCCCTCTTTTTACCAGGAACTCCTGCGGTGGAAACGTGACTATTACTAACAACTTAAAACACATTTTGCCATCGTTTGCAAATTAAGTAACCTATATCAGCCACCTGTACTTGATTAAAGTGAAAATGAAATTAAAGCCTGACCTCATGAGCTGGTTGTACTTGGCAAGTCGCTCAGACCTACAAGGAGCGCCGGTTTTGATCTGAAAAAAGGAAAATAAAACCATGGTATATATTAATTAAGACAAAAATATATACAGTTTCTGAACTCTCATGTACTGTGGGGTAATGTGTTAACCTGGATTTGTTTGTCTAACTTCTGCAGCAAAGGAATGGAAGCCTTATTAAAGCTGGAATACCTTAAGTAATGTTTTAACGTAACTGCATTGTTATAAAAAATGAGCTCTGTAAGTCACTATTTGACTTTGGGCTGAGAGCTGATTGGCTGAGTGAGTGACCCTCACTTTTTAGTTTTTCTGTCTGAAAAAAACCCTGATCTATAAGAATATGACAGAGGCCAGGAATACATGATGTGAAAACTAGTAATCGAAGTGAGTTCTATTGTTGTAGTCTGTAAGTTACGTACCCCAGCTTTAATATTAATTTAATTTCACAAACAGATATTTAGAGCACAGGCTGAAATCTAGAAACGTCTCTGTATTAAGATCTATCTTCTTGCTCTCTTTCCTCCTCCTCCAGGCTGCAGAAGTAAAATCTTTCTTTCCACTTTAATCATATACAAGTACAGTAAAAGTACTACTGTCCAGAGCAGTACTACACATATACAAGTACTGTTTACTTATATAAGTGGTACCTGTCCGGTGCACAGTCCCACCACCAGGTCCGCGATGAAGGTGTCCTCTGTCTCTCCAGAGCGGTGACTCACCATCACTCCCCAGCCGTTAGCCTGAGCTAGTTTACACCTGCAAACAAACAATCAAACTCAACATTTAGCCTCTTTATTTTAATCTAAAACTATTCATTAAGACACTGGAGCCCACGAGGATGTAGAGGGAAATGTACTTTTGAGTTTGTCAGTCTCCTCACAGTAAAGATAAAACTGAAGACTTTGTAATCAACACTTTCATTTGTTCGCCACGCCTATGTTAAATTCAATTCTGTTCAATTTATTTTTCACAAACAGCAGTTATCTCAGAAGACTCCACCAGATTCGCCAGAACACAGATCTCAAACAATCACCACTTTAAGTAGCAATATGTAAGATTTTCAAGTCATCATTAAACGGCCCTAATCTGTCAAAAGGCATAAACAAAACATGCTCTTTTCAAATAATTCTTTAACTAATAACAGTAGTTCAGCCAAGATATTTGGATTTCAAAATTAGTTTTACATCTCTTAAATCTTGTTATTGTTTTAATTTCAATGTCCACCAGTACTAAAAAGGTCTTTGACAAAACAAGGAATAAAACCGTTCCTCTTCACCCTCTACACTGCGGACTTCAGACACCACACGGACGGTTGTGTCCTTCAAAAGTTCTCCAACGACTCTGCCATCATCGGACTCAGCTCTGAGGATGATGACACTGAGTACAGAGGAGTACTTTGAGGACTGGTGTCAGCAAAACCACCCCCTCATCAACGCGGGGAAGACCAAGGAGATGGTGGTGGATTTCCGCAGATGTCACTCTGCCGCTCCAGCCTCAGTGAACATCCAGGGAAGGAACATTGAGAGAGTGGACTCTTACAAGTACCTGGATGTTCATCTGAACCACAAACTGGGCCGGACTCATAAAACAAACGTCCTCTTCAAGAAGGAACAGAGCCGGCTCTATCTGCTGAGGAGGCTCAGGTCTTTTGGAGTGCAGGGGCCACTCCTGAAGACCTTCTATGACTCTGTGGTGGCATCAACCATCTTGTACGGTGTGGTCTGCTGGAGCAGCAGCATCAGAAAGAGGGACAGGAAGAAGCTGGACAAAGTCATCAGGAAGTCCAGCTCTGTCCTGGGGTGTTCCCTGGACACAGTGCAGCAGGTGGGGGACAGGAGGGTCCTGGACAAACTAACTTCTATTCTGGACTATGGCTGTCACTCCCTGCAGGACACTCTGGCTGCTCTGGAGAGCAGCTTCAGTGACACTTAGTCACCCACGCTGTGTGAAGGAGAGGTTCCGCTGGTTTTTCCTTCCTGCTGCTGTCAAACTGTACAACAAACAATGAGGACTAATGAAAGCTGCCAACCTGATCTCACGTGTCATGCCTCGGTGCAATATATTTAACTAATATCAGATTGTGCAATAGCCACATTCACTGAGTCATTGTGTCCCAGAGCCTCATGCTGCTAATGTACAAATGTAAACATACTGCTACTAACAAGTACAGATGTAAACATACTGCTGCTAACATGAACAGATGCTAACATATAACTACATATTTTTTCGGTCTCTGGTCTTAAGTCTTGTCCTGGTACCCCTGCTTATATGACCACCGTGACAAAGCCAATCTGGTTTCATTTGAGCACGAGATAGTTGCAGAACCTGGTCTCTGGTCCAGTCCCGCTACTCACGCTTGTATTGCCTCAGTCACAGAGCCAATCTGGTTCACTTTGAGCAGGAGACAATTGCAGGCCCTCTCCTCGGCTGCCTTCTCGATCCGCTTGGGGTTGGTCACGGTCAGGTCATCTCCAACCACCTGGATCCCAACTCGGGCTGTGAGTCTGGACCAGGCCTCCCAGTCGTCCTGGTCAAACGGGTCCTCAATGGAAACCACTGTGACACAACAACAATCTAAAGACCAAGTCACAACACCTTGTTCTTATCATCCTTTTGCACCAAGAAGCTGGTTCTGGGTCGGTTCAGGGCCAGTTCAGGGTAAAAAAGAAAAGTGTTCTCCCTGTAACTTCCCTTTTTGCCACCAGAGAGAGGAGATAAATATGTGATTTTACAGAAAGTAATTTCTCTGGTGAAATGACCAAAAACGATTAATGGACAAGACGTTGGTTTTGGTTTAAGTGTTTTAAAAATCCGAAAAATTCTCTAAGTGTGATATCATGGTGGTACAATGACTTCATACTCTCAAAGGACTGAGACAGGAACTTTTTTATACAAAAGAGGCAGAGTTATGTGTTTGTATCAAAACTTCCAGATATTAGCGTGGGTGGATGGAGGATGTGGAGTGTTATGTACCTGGGTGGTTCAGGTACCTGGCCCCTCATGGTCACGTACCTGGGTAGTTGTTGACAAAGTCCTGGTAGATGTCGGCCAGCTCTTCTGCAGAGATGTGTCGTGAAGAGTCTGGAGGAGATTTGAAGTCCAGGTCGTACTTTCCCTCTCTGTAGAACTCTGAGGCTGCCACGTCCATCCCTACCACCACTTTGTCCGTGAAACCGGCCTTCTCGATGGCCGTCTGCAGGAGCTCCAGGGCTGAAACACCGCAGGAACCAGGGGACATTATCTGGGAAATATTAACTTTGATATTACATGCTTTAGGACAGATGTGTGTACTCACCTTCACTGTTCTCCAGGATGTTGGGGGCAAATCCTCCCTCGTCGCCCACGTTGGTTGCATCTTGTCCATATTTTTGCTGGATAACCCCCTTCAGAGTGTGGTACAGCTCTGCGCCTATCCTCAGAGCCTCCCTGCACCACACACAGAATATGTCACATTTAAATCCAGAAATGAACCATATAAGGATTGGCTAATCAGAGGCCTTCACTTGCAGGGAAAACGGTTGCCTCAGCAAACGTCTTAGCAACACATCTGCCCCTGATATGGCACACAGTTTACATCACAGAAGACATGCTCAATGAAGAACACAACCAGTACACTCTCACACATGGCCTATGATCCAGCCACGATACTAGCTATTTCGGAAATGAGAATAAAACCGATAATGAAATCAAACTGGGTGTCAATGCGCCTGAAACTGGGCTTTTAATTCAGAGATAATACCAGAAACTGACTCACTGAACAAAAACAATTACATCGCAACACACTCTTGTGACAGGACATATGTGACAGGTGCCAAAATATTTCTCTTCCCCTGTAGTTTTGCACTAACACACTTTGACCTTCAGAGAAAGACCTAAGTTTTGTTGGTGGAACACTGATAGCTGGTATGTAACAACTATGCTGGGCTATGACTGTCACAGTGTCCTGCAGCGGGTGACATGTTGTGATGTGTGGGACACAACATTGCTTAGTTGTGTCCCACCACCACAAGTTAGTTGTGGTGTGTGGGACATTTCTGTAGCTGTATAAGAAGTTAGAAATACAATGCTGCAGTGTCATGCCCCCCTCTGCTTTCCTTTTGGCCAATGATCTCTTAAAGGTTTGTATGGGGTAAGGTTACTGTCAATAAAGACGTGCATGTCTAAAAAAAAATGCGTGCATATTTATCTGTGTGCATAAAAATATTTTATTAATTCATGATTAAGATAATACAAACTCAAAAGACATGGAATTTTGTAATTAAGAATAAAAAACTATACAACTGTATGTCTGATTTTGCACTTGTGAATACGTTTTTTGTGTGCTCGCATTTTCTTCTTTGAGAATACAAATTTCAGCAGTCAGCAAACTGTCAATATTACGTCACTGCTCACAGACATTAAGAATCAAGCCTGCGCAGAGTTGATCCTCTTCATTGTCACAAAACTAAAACATGGCAGAGGGCAACAACATTAACAACGTGGCTCAAAATCAGGTATATAACTATATTTTTATCATTTTGGTCGTAAAGGAATGTGTAAGAAATATTAATTCCATGAAATGTGTTCATGAGAAGATGTTTCATGTCCCTCTCTAGAAACGTTTTTTCGGCAGTGCTGTTAGCTCTAATGCTAGTTTTATTTTTTTATTCTGGTAATGCTTTATTCTACAGAAAATAATGCATTTTACTTTGTTTTTTTATTGCATATTTCATGTGCTTTATTTATATTGATCTGATAAACCATTTAATTAGGCCTAACTTATTGGATTTTCTGTCTGCTAGATCCCGCTGGCTGAACCTGGTTTGCATGCTTATCAACAGACCTAGCGTTACTGAACTAGTGAGTAAAAGTAATGTGTCAAATTTACTCACAAATATAAGATTGAGGCACACAGAGCGCAATGGGGTATGCTACGTCTAGCAACCGAGGATGAGTATAGCACGGAGGTGAACTTCATATTGCTCAGGGGCAGTGACGTCTTTGCACTTGGGGCCAGTGGGGCCCGGCCCCACCAGGTGGCGCTGTTGAGCACTATGCAGTCTCAAAATAACTGTCTATAGAATTGGTCTTCTTTATAAAGTAATAATAAAAATTTATTAAAAATAAATTGTGTCAAATTAATCAATTATTTCATAAAAATGTATGTATAAATCATAGGCTTTGCCAAAACCAAAAACAATTACCTAATTTCTCACAATCGAACTGAAATGGGGCCGCCCCCTGAGCGCTTGTTTAAGTGATGAGCCACTAAAATCATAGTGCGCATGTTCATAACTGGTCTCAGTAGACAGCCATGGGGCACAGTTATTGCAGCCCCAAGGCCGATATCATCCAATTAAAATGTTCGGATCAAATACGTCAACACGTACACAAAATATTGGACTCAAATACGTGGCGACGTATGCAGCACGTTCAGTTTTGGCAGATACCGAGATACAGCAGCAAGCTAGATTTTTTCATCCAGAGCTAAAAAATTTGAAGCAAACCAGCCATATGAATCAAATTTAGCACTTTGCCACTTGAGCAAAAATTATAAATTAAACGTCTGGGACCACATCAGCCGTCGGATTTTAATATTGTTCTAGCGGGAAAGGACAAAACCCGCTCCTTCAACTCCGAATGGTTCAAGAGGAAAACGTGGCTCACTGCCTGTTGGACCAGAAAGTCGCTGTTTTGTTTTCCTTGCCTGCTGTTCGGAGAAGAGACTACCTGGACTACAGTGGGATTCAAAGATTTGAAGCATCTTTCAGAACGTTTGACCAAACATGAGAGCAGTGGCTCACATGTTGAGAATTCTCTGAAACTGGGTTTGCTTGGTACCGCTAACATTGCGACCCAGTTGGATTCCGCCCACAAGCGTGCCATTGAACTGCACAACCAGCAAACTGAGGAAAACCGGTATGTGCTTGGACGAATCATCACATGTCTAAAACTCTGTGGTAAATGCGAAATCGCTTTACGCGGCCGTGATGAGTCTGCTGCTTCTGTCAATCCTGGCATTTTTCGTAGTATTTTTGAGACAATTATCAAGAAGAAGTTGTGAAGGAGGTGTCTGTTACTCCCTATGTGGCAGTGCAAGCGTACGAAACCACAGATGTGTCATGTAAATCCCAGGTAGTGTTTGTGCTGCGTTATATGACTGGGACAACAGTGAAAGAGAGATGCTGATCTATCTGCCTTTGCTAAAAAAAAATCTAACTCGCCAAAAAGAACCGCGGCACTCTCAGACACATCTACGCGGCGCATCCCGAGGCCAGCAGCGACTCGGCGGAATTTCAGGAGCAGAACGGTAGATGCTGTTTGGGAGAACCTGTGTGATATCAAATCTTGTCTGGATAATATCCGCACAGAACCTGGATGGGACAGCAATTCAATTCGTGAAGTGTATGGTCTCGCTATGTACCTGGAGGATGAGACATTTCTACAGTTTCTGCAGTTTTTCTACCAGCTCATGCCAAAATTGGACATTCTGTACAACACGCTGCAAAAACGCAGTGTCGATGCGACCACAGTTAATCGTGCTATAGACAGCTTCAAAGACGCTGTGAGTCGCCTGAGGGAAAATGTGGATGACATCGCTCGAGAGAAAGAGGAAGCGCAGAAGAAATGGAAGAAAACAAACACTGCAGCAGTCATGAGGGAAGCGTGTGACACTGTGGTTGCTCAAGTGGAGGAGAGGTTTAGCTCCAGCGAACACCTGTTAGCTGCATAGCTTGTGGACTAGACACTTTTCACTAACTTCAGCAAATCATTTCCATGTGCTATGTTTGAAGCAGAAAATAAAATCTGGCCAATTGGAAATAAGGTCAAACTGGAAACTGAGCTGAAGTCCCTGAACAGTCACTAAGAGTTGCATGCTGCCAACACTCTGTCACTGCTGCAGCTGATCTTTGACAACAACCTATCAGAAACTGTGTCACTGATCAAAACTATTATCACCACACCAATGACCACAGCGGAGTCTGAGAGGAACTTTTCAACGCTAAAAAGGATAAAGACATTTACAAGAAACACCATGGGGCAGCAGAGATTGAACACATTGGCTATGTTGTCCATTGAAAATTAATTCATTCGTGGCTTAAATGACTTTGACAGACGGGTTATTGACAAGTTTGCCCAGATGAACGATCGGCAGGCATCCTTTCTATTCAAAAAATGAACACTGGTGAGTGCCATCATATCATCATATCACTTTACTGCTGTCACCTTATTGCACTGCTTACCACAAATTGTGTGCACCATGTGAACTTGTATATTGTACAGTATATAGCAATTGTAATCGTAATAATTCTATTTTAAATGTCATTCCTTAGAAGTGTTGCTGATTTTTATTATGCCTTCTCTACTCTTTACCTCTCTTTTCTGACTGCTGAACTGAGCCAAAGCAATTTAAGAGTCTGATTTACATGGCAATAAAAAGGATTCCGATTCTATTGAGTTGAATATTTCTGATTTATTTTGAACTATTCAAAGGTTTTATTCATGGGGTTAATATGTTAGGCTGTGCATAAAAATGGACTGTGGTCTTGAATTTGATTTATTGTGTATGTTTCGCAGTTAGTGGATGTAAAGTGCCCACTCTTGTGCCCCACTCAACTTTTCATGCCAGAGACGCCACTGCATAACTGTATACATGTGTTACTTTATACACATTTTGAGGTTTGTGTTGTGAATTCCTAGGAAAAAAAGATATTTGAATCCCAATGGGATGTACTGGTTAAAAAAATGAAAGTGCTGTTTACTTGAAGGACTCGGCTCCGACCGGCAGAACCATGAACTCCTGCATGGCTAGCTTATTTCCAGCGTGAGAGCCACCATTGATCACATTGAAGGCCTGGAAAACACACAGAAGTTAAATTGGAATTACTGGCACAAAAAAGGAAAATAATTTAACAAATATATAAATATTACCTTGATTTTTACAACCATTTCCACCAGACCTGCTCGGCCGTACTCTACCTCTACTCTGACCAGTACCAGGTACTTTTATAGTTCCTCATGGCCCAGGTTTTAAAGGTTTCCAACTGACTGCGATTGGCCATAGTGCTGAACTATTTTGACATTATCTGATCAAACTTGATTGAGACAAAATAATAACTCTTCTCTGACAAAAATCTGCAGTTGGAAGCCACATCTCATCAGACGTCTGAGGCTAAAGCCTAGTGTATACTCGCGCGGAGGTGACGTGACGTCACTTGCGCAATGTGTTGGTCACCGCAAGGCCCTTACTTGCCTGCCGCGCAGCATCGAAATGTTCTAACTATGTAAGGGTCGCCGCAAGGAAGCTCCGCTGTGATTGGTCCCTGTGTGTGTATTGGAAGGAAGCACAGAGCGGCTGCAGGAGCATGGACGAGGCACTATGGAGCAGACTGCTTCACGCTTCGAAGAAACCAAAGGAAAAGTAGTTTTGGGTCATGGCAGAGCCTGATATACGCGGAGACTGTGGACTAGAGTTCTGTTACATATCTAACATATCTATATGTAGCGGGAGGTAGTTTGTCCCTTCCTGGCTACCATACACTACTGCACACATGCCCCTCCCCTCACATTTCCGTATTGGCTCAGTAGCGATCAGCAACAGTACTTATAGACACCCCAGTGCACAGGAAGGTAAGCTGCTGTCAGGCTTCACTCGTTCTGCCAGATCTCGAGTAGCTGCCGGGTAGGTGTTCCCTGTTGTTGTTGTACAATGTCAGCCGTGGGTTAATGGGAGTGTTTCTTCTTCCTTTTTTGCAGACGCTGTTTAGCAGCCTGCTACCACGGCCACTGGTTAAAAGTCGTGCGTGGCCATGTCTCCTCACTAACTTTGTACATAGTGCTCATGGTATTATACACTGTTGTGCTCTTTTTGTTTGTGTAGTTATGTGGCATGAAACTAATAGCATTTTGTTTCATAGATGCTGTTGGCCACTGCTGTTTTGTTTGGGTTTTCATTTAAGTCATAGCTATTTACTTTTGTTTTGTTCTCCGTCACCAATTTGCCCCTAAGATCTGCATTTCTTCCCCTAAGGTCTGGTCTGGGCGTGGTCGTCCCTGGTGGAGGTTTGGTGGCGGAGTCTCACGTCAGTCCCCCTCACTCCTCGTATGTTTTGGTATTGTTGCACGCCCTCACTTTCACGTTTCCTTAGTTTCCCCGTGTGTGTGTGAGTGTGTGTGAGTGTTCACGGAGCTGCAGTGGGTGCTCCGGCCTATGTGCTTCTGCCGTGTGCGGCTGCGACCGACCTACGTAATTAATGCAGTTTTATCTCTAACTAATTGGCTTTTAAATACCCTTTTTAACTAGCTTTTTGTACTAAATAAATATTAAACTCTTATCCTTGCCTCTGCCTCATTTTCATTGCCATTTGCAATCCTGAACCTAAAGTAACTAGGTACGGTTACATTCTGGCGTTGCTGGCTAAGGATTGCTGTGGTGATGAGTGAGTGACTCTAGGTTTAAAAAAAAAAAAAATAAAGAAATTTGTTTTATTACTGTTTAAAGACCCAAGCAAACAGCAGTGGGCGCTTCGAGGGATCTGCTGCCCCAGAACAATCGTCCTCCCCTCTCAGACGTGTCTACGTGCTCTACCTGCCCGCCTCTCCCTTCAACCATGACTATGGAACTGCAAGAGCTGAGGGACCAGCTGGCACAGCTCCAATCGGAAAATGTGCGGCTCCAGGAGAGGCTTGCTGTTCGTGAAACTCCCGCAGACTCTGGTGCCTCCACTTCCACAGACTCTGGGACTACTAGCTCTCGACACCGCACTAATGGCTCACCAGCTGAACGTGTGTTATACATTCCCAGAGAAAGAAAGTGTCCATCATTTAGGGGCATTACTGGAATTCCTGTGGAGGACTGGGTTGAAGAGATGAGGGCTACTCTGAGAACCAGATGCCTGCAGCCTGTGGACCAAGCTTACTTTATGTATGACCATCTTGAGGGGGAGGCTAAGGATGAGATAACGTACCGGCCTAGAGCAGACAGAGAGGACCCAGAGAAAATGTTTAAAATTTTGCAAGAGTTGTATGGGTGTAGCAGATCGTATGTCTCATTACAGCAAGCATTTTTCTCAAGGAGGCAGCAGGAAGGGGAATTGCTACAGGAATTTTCACACGCATTGTGTTGCCTTATGGAGAAGGTCGAGCGAAGTGCCCCACAGTCTATGCCTGATGCCCCAAATCTCCTCCGCGATCAGTTTGTGGAGCATGTGTTGGATCCACATCTTCGCAGGGAGTTAAAGAGATTAGTGAGGCAGTGCCCCACGCATACCTTGATTGAGGTGAGGGCAGATGCTATTAGGTGGGAACGGGAAGGAAGGTCTGAGGAACCCCGGCCCCGAAGCTACTCAGTACCATCAATTAGTTCAATGCACTACCCTAACACACGTGCACCTTCTACCAGTGCCAGCTCGGAGTTTAGGGAATTGCGGCAACTGTTTGAGAAACAGCAAGAGCAGCTTAACCAGTTGGCTCTAGGCCTCCAAGCATTACAGACTTCTGCACGTCCCCCAGGTAGAACAGCTCGGCCAAACACTCTAATCTGCCTGCGTTGTCAAAAACCTGGCCATTTTGCTAGAGATTGTGATAATGAACGTGTGCCCTCCCAGCCTAGAGCCCCACATATGGGGGCAGTGACAGCAGCCCAGGAGGTGGGAAACTGCAACCCCCTGATGTGAGGAGCCAAACGTCAGGAGGGGAGGGCACCGGCTCATCAACCCACAGGGCAGCACAAGAGCAAGCGGCCCCAAATTTCATTGCCCCATGTCCTAAGGTAACTGCCAAGCTTGGTGCTGTTACAGCAAACTTTTTGTTGGATACGGGGTCTATGGTCTTCACTGTTTATGAGGGCTTCTTTTATCAACATTTCCACACTGTCCCTAGGCCCTGTAATTGGCTTGAGCTCACTGCAGCCAATGGCATTGATATTCCCTATGTTGGTTACGTCGAGTTAGACGTCACTATATTTGGTATGGTAGTTCCGCAGCGGGGTCTCTTGGTGGTCAAGGAGCCGTTCAGACAGCAAGCTTCAGATGGGGTAAAGGGTGTGATAGGCATGAATGTGATTAAGGAGTGTTACTACCAGTTGTTCAGCCAACATGGGTCACACCTTTTTGATCTCCCTGAGATACGCCTTGCACCCCCGCTCTGGCAGCGGGCGTTACAGCACTGTCACCGAATGGAGTCCCAGACTCTCCAGCCAGAGAGGGGAGTGGCTAAAGTGAGAGGTAGGCGCTCGGTCATAGTTCCAGGGGGGAAAATTAAGTGGGTTGCCGCTACCTGTTCGTCTCATTTTTTTCGGTCCTCAGGCACAGCGTTACTCGAGCCCTTGGATGATTGCCAGTCTCTGCAACAGGGTCTGCTAATCTCACCAGCTATGGTCAACATCCACCAAGGTACAGTTTATGTCCCAGTGGTGAATGTAGGGACAGACAACCTAGTGTTACACCCTCGGCAGCCTATTGGTATTCAATTCAACTTTATTACGGACTCAAGGTCCAAAAAAGACAGCGACATCACAAACAACATTAAACTACAAACAAATAAATTACACAGTCCCTTTAAAAAGACAGCTATACCAGTGCCTCCACATTAGCGACTGATAGCGAATGGCACTACAGGTGACATCAACCAATGAACCAATGACTGTATTAACAGACTTATTCAAACGGCATATAAAACGGTACATAAGCGTCCGCAGTGTGGCTTGCAGCGTGTTTATTCCAGCAGTGACAAACATCTCACTCGCACTGGTCCATCTCGGCCTCCTGAGAAGCACACGCAGAGCGTCGTTATAGGCCACCTGCAACCTTTGGAAAGTTCCTTTTTTATAGTTGGACCAAAGGTGCGCTGTGTACAGAGGTGTACAATATGATTTGAACAACATCATTTTCACTTTGTCCGTACAAAAGCCAAATTTACGCGCCAGCGTGTTTGCCTGGGCATACAACGTTCTACATTGCCTGTTTATGTCAGCATCATCAGAAAAGTCTTCTGTCAATATATGCCCAAGATATTTTATTTTGTTTGCAACATGAAGCCTTGCATTAGACAAATAAAAATCAGGATATGATGTCTTCTTATCCTCCTTGGCTCTACAGATCATAACCAAACTTTTCACTGCATTATATTTTTAATGTCATGCTCCAGGCCATAGCTTGAACAAATGTTAAGTAACTGTTGCAGCCCAGCAGTGCTTGGACTGAACACAACAAGATCATCTGCATACAACAAATGATTTAACACAAGGTTACCAGCTATACATCCAGTAGTACAAGCCTTAAGTCTTGTAGACAGATCATCCAGATATAAGTTAAAGAGAATCGGGGATAGTATGCCCCCCTGTCTGACCCCATTGCTGACCTTAAATGGAGCAGACACACTGTTCCCCCACTTAACCTGCATCTTTTGCTGAGCATACCAGTAGATCAAGATCCGCACAATGAATTTGGGAACACCTTTCTGAATTAGTTTAATAAATAATTTCCTGTGGTTAACTCTGTCAAAAGCCTTAGAGTCATCTAAAAAACACATAAAAACTGAGGAGTTTTGACCCTTATATTTAGCAATAATTTCTTTGAGGGCATATATACACATGTCTGTGCCCAGCTTAGCTTTAAAACCAAACTGGCAATCTGACGACAAAATAAACTTAGATATTTTGTCCAGCAAAATTGATTCAACGATTTTAGACACAATACTGGCCAATGCTATTGGTCTATAATTGTCTGAGCAGCCAATCTTGCCAGCTTTATCTTTTAAAACAGGAACTAACAAGACAGTAAGCATGGAATCAGGCAAAAAAAGCTGTGAAGCAGATGGAGAGCAAAGGGGCTAACCTTGCACTCGCAAACTTTAAGTGCTCAGCTGAAACACCATCTGCCCCATTGGCTTTATTATCTGACAAATTTGAAATAGCTTTGATGACATCTTGACATAAGATAGCATCTGAACTATCAACATCATCAACATAATGAGGGTCACTCTGAACACAATTAAATAACATAGCGTAATGTTGCCGCCACAGTTCCAATATATTACCAGTGCCAGAGATACCATCAACCACGCATGGCAAGGAAACCTTAGTTTTCATGGCTCTGACATCTTTCCAGAACTCAAATGCATTGTTACACTGCAGTTTCCTGGCCATTGAGTCAGCTTTCATTGTTTGCTCATATTTTGTGATGTAACGTAGAGCATATTTATATTGAGCATTGGTGTCTTTTTTTGTGCTCAAACACTGGCCCAGATCTTGGTCTTCCTGCCAATGTCCACTCAAAGAATGCCTCACGTGCCTTTGTATGAAATTCAGCCACATGAGCATTCCATCCAGGTTTAACTTTCTTTTTAACTTTGCATGTGTGTAATGATTTGCTTGAAACAATTAGTGCTTTCATTATGTCATCATATATAGAACAAATAGCTGAAATATGTTCAGGGTTCCGGCACATACTATCTCTACACATGACTGCTTCTCTAGGCATATAGATGTTACCAAGTAGGCTCTCTGAACGCACACAATAGGATACTATTTCCTTTTGTGTAAGAGAATTCCAGTCCACGTAACAACTACTTTGATTGTCATGACTTACTGTCAAAGGCAGAGCATGAAAATTAATTTCAATCCCAAAAGGTATATGATCAGTTGTGTAGCTCTCTAAAAAAGGTTTTCATGTCCAGTCAGTGCACAAACATGCTCAAAAGAGTGGTTTTATAAGTATGGAGTTCCTGCCAGACTACACTCCGACCAGGGTCGTACCTGTAGCTTTGAAAATGCATTGATACACCAATTGTGTGAGATGTACGGAATAAAAAAATCTAGGACCACCCCTTATCACCCGCAGGGGAATGGCCAATGCGAACGTTTTAATCGCACTCTGCACAATCTCCTCCGTACTCTGTCTGCAGAACAGAAGCTGCGTTGGCCTGAGTACTTGCCACAAGTACTTTTCAGCTACAACACTACCCCACATCAAACTACTGGACATTCACCTTTCCTCCTCATGTTTGGCCGGGAACCTCAGCTTCCAGTGGATTTCTCCTGGGAAGGGTCAACGAGCCTGTTACAGGGGAAGTCTGCCGTTGGATAGAGGAGCATCGGCATAGATTGCAAGTAGCAGCTGATAATGCCCGTGAGCGGATGCGGGCAGCTGCAGCACAGAGGAAAGAGAGGGCGGACAAGCGGGCGACGGAGGATGTGGTGCCCGCAGGACAGAAGGTGTACCTACGTGACCACTCTCACCGAGGGCGGAGTAAAATTCAGGATGCCTGGGCCCCTGATGTATTCATTGTGGTAGGGTCCCCAAGCCCTGGCCAATCTGTGTATGCAGTTGCCCGTGAAGACCAGCCTGCACAGGTACGCTATGTACACAGGAATATGTTTAAACCGATACCCTGCAGTCTTTCCCCCCCTCTCGCTGACAGGCCTGATCCAAGTAACCGGAGCCCCGAGCTGTCCGAAACCGGGGAGTGGGCCGCAGATGGCCTCTGGGTGGTGAGTCGAGAGCCAGATGTACTTGCGCATCCAGTCCAGGCTGACGACCCTGCTGTTCGGCCACCAGCCCCACTAGCGGTCAGCTCCGCCCCCGGGTCACGGGTTGGACTCCTACCAGCCCCACATACGGTCAGCCCTGCCCCCAGCTCACGGTTTGGACCACCACCAAGACGCTCTACCCGTCAGACAGCCGGCCAGCATCCTAACCCTAATAACCTGCCAACAAGCGTGCAAAGTAGGGCTAGTAGGGCTGCAACTTTCCATTAGGTTTGAAATTGTTGGGACACCAATTTAAAGAACCCGGGGGTAGATGTAGCGGGAGGTAGTTTGTCCCTTCCTGGCTACCATACACTACTGCACACATGCCCCTCCCCTCACATTTCCGTATTGGCTCAGTAGCGATCAGCAACAGTACTTATAGACACCCCAGTGCACAGGAAGGTAAGCTGCTGTCAGGCTTCACTCGTTCTGCCAGATCTCGAGTAGCTGCCGGGTAGGTGTTCCCTGTTGTTGTTGTACAATGTCAGCCGTGGGTTAATGGGAGTGTTTCCTTCTTCCTTTGTTGCAGACGCTGTTTAGCAGCCTGCTACCACGGCCACTGGTTAAAAGTCGTGCGTGGCCATGTCTCCTCACTAACTTTGTACATAGTGCTCATGGTATTATACACTGTTGTGCTCTTTTTGTTTGTGTAGTTATGTGGCATGAAACTAATAGCATTTTGTTTCATAGATGCTGTTGGCCACTGCTGTTTTGTTTGGGTTTTCATTTAAGTATTTGGTTTTTGTCTTTTTATTTAGTCTTATCATTTACTTAGAATAATTTTGTTTAAGGCATAGCTATTTACTTTTGTTTTGTTCTCCGTCACCAATTTGCCCCTAAGATCTGCATTTCTTCCCCTAAGGTCTGGTCTGGGCGTGGTCGTCCCTGGTGGAGGTTTGGTGGCGGAGTCTCACGTCAGTCCCCCTCACTCCTCGTATGTTTTGGTATTGTTGCACGCCCTCACTTTCACGTTTCCTTAGTTTCCCCGTGTGTGTGTGAGTGTGTGTGAGTGTTCACGGAGCTGCAGTGGGTGCTCCGGCCTATGTGCTTCTGCCGTGTGCGGCTGCGACCGACCTACCTAATTAATGCAGTTTTATCTCTAACTAATTGGCTTTTAAATACCCTTTTTAACTAGCTTTTTGTACTAAATAAATATTAAACTCTTATCCTTGCTTCTGCCTCATTTTCATTGCCATTTGCAATCCTGAACCTAAAGTAACTAGGTACGGTTACATATAACTTATAAACTGTGCAGTTGTTTGTTTTGCACTGTTCCTGTCTTTGTTTGAATCGTAGCTTATCGCGTCTGTTCCATTCCTTCTTCACTTATAAATTGTTCATGTTTGCCTTAGATATTTACCACTTTTTGTATGCTGTTTGTGATGAATACAATTTAATAATAACTATGCTTCTGTGGCAGTACGAGGTGTGGGCGGGCTCTTAATTTGAGGGGGCGAGTTCCAATTGGCCGCTTGTGCTGGCCGTCAGCCCATAAAAGCACTGCTGTGATTGCTCCTCCACCTCTGGCCTCTTGCTTTGGCCCCGCCCACCGGCGTGCATCTCCATATGCTGTCTGACACCTCGCAGCAGGTAATCCCAGTTGATTCACCGCTTCTAAAATGGACAGTTGTTAATCCCGCATCTAATATTTAGCTTGAACGTCACTGTCTTGAAGCCACGCACACAATGCGCTGATCTACACGCCTCTGTGTCTAAGTAACGGTAAGCGCTCCTGTTCCACAAACACTCTACGAGCACGCTCTTAGCATTGTGTTTGTTTAGGCTCAATCGTTCGCACCCTTGTCATCTCCCTCATTGGAGCTGCAAATAAGGCTCTAGTAAGTATGCCTGTTTAATGTGTGCTAGGATAACAATATGTAAAAGTATGTGCCTCTGCTTATGCATGTAGACGCTGCCGCTTTGCCCACTCTCATCTATGCGCCTTGCTGTCTGCTGGTGCTGTAGTCTGCTTTCTGCTGGTGCTGTAGTCTGCTCTCTGCTGGTGCTGTAGTCTGCTCTCTGCTGGTGCTGTAGTCTGCTCTCTGCTGGTGCTGTAGTCTGCTCTCTGCTGGTGCTGTAGTCTGCTCTCTGCTGGTGCTGTAGTCTGCTCTCTGCTGGGGCTGTAGTCTGCTCTCTGCTGGGGCTGCCTGCTCTCTGCTGGGGCTGCCTGCTCTCTGCTGGGGCTGCCTGCTCGCTGCTGGGGCTGCCTGCTCGCTGCTGGGGCTGCCTGCTGTTCGCTTCGCTGCCCGCGCCCCTGTTGGAGTTTGGAGATTGTAGCCCACCCTGTTTCGCTCGCAGCAACCAGGGCCCGCATATCCCAGCACTACAGCCAGAGACGTTGACACGAGAGACTTAGGCTATATCCACACGAAGACAAAACGCTTATAATTTCAGAAACTTTTTCTGTAAACACGGAGTTAGCTCAGTAAATGTGTGCGTCCATATGAATGTAGTCAATACGCCTGAAAACGCTGTGAAACTATGCCAGACCTGTTGGTGGCGCTGTGACGCAATGACAAACTTCCGTGGGCATGCGCGGAATTTTGTAAACGGACAACATGGCGAGTGGGCGAGCTGGTACTACATTAGTATGGACGGACGATGAGGTTGAACTGTTGCTTTGGGTCACACTGGATTACAAAACCAACAAGCTACATTGTTGTTGTCATTATTTTCTGAGTGCGGCGCATGCGTGCTTTAACAAGAGGCGGGGCGATGACGCAAGCGTCTCAGATACATTGCGGAGAGGCAGTAACCACGGAGCGGCATATACGGAGTTTTGAAATCTTTCCACTCTGGGACCTACTTTCAAAAATGTTCGTTTACACCCCCCCAAAACGCCGGCCTCGTATGGACGATACACTGGATTGATAAAGTATTTTTGCGTTTAGGCCTGAGCTTGACTTCGTGTGGACAGGGCCTTAATGACTGCACCTTCCATGCTCCTCAAGCCCTGATGTCTTTTTATTTGACTGTCTGTTCACCTGCACCTGCATTGTGACCATGCTTTTGTTTTGTAGGGGCTGAAGGTCCGACACCATGGTGGTGGATTTCTCTGGTGGTGGTTCCTGTTTGGGTTTGGTTTGCACATTTTGTTTGTGGTGTTTATTTTGCATTATTTTAGCTTTCCGCCCCTTTTAGTTCTCCCCTCACGGTTAGGCCTCAGCCCCGAATTTCTTTAGCGTGTGTATGTGTGTACGGTGTTTGATGGTGTGCGTGTGGTATGCTTGATGGTGTGCGTGGGGTGTGCTTGCTCTGCGTGTGGTGTGATTTTTTTTTATTAGCTAGGTCTTCTAATTGTTAAATTTAAAATAAAACTTTTGTACTATTGAATGGGACTGTCTCTGCCTCTTCAGTAAAACTTACCTGTGTGCTCTCTTCAAGTTAATTATATTTTCCCAGGCACTAGACCTGGGTGGCGTTGCTGATTCTAAATTTGCCACTCTATAATTCTCCCACCGCTCACGCTACACTTCCAACAAGAACTGTGTCTTTATTCACAAAATCACAGTTAAATGAGTTAAGAAATGAGTCCATAGAACTATCACATAAACCTACAGTAGAAACACATGTAATGATCTCAAACAGCTTTGTTTTTGTTCATGTTTTTGTTCTGAAGAGGAGAAAATAGCAGCGTAAATGAGACCGCTTTGGTATCTCAAGCAACTCCTGTGAGATCGCCATTGTGTGGTTGGTTGTGCGATTACAACATTCTCCTCAAAACTCCGCAAGGAGTATAAATTAAATTGTGCTTGCGAAGGTACACCGCAACCGCTAACGTAAGCAGCGCCGCGCAAGTATACACTAGGCTTAAGCAGGGCCGGGCCTGGTGTTCATATTTCACACAGTATGTTGAAGCAGTCGGACTCACAGGCACTGGCAGCACCAGCTCCGTGTTCCCAGCCAGGTCTGCAATGTGGCGATACAGAGGGACTTCCTTTTCTGCGGCTCCGGCTTTGCACACTGCCAGAGAGACTCCCAGGATTGCGTTAGCTCCGAATTGAGCTGCAGGGAAAGAAAAACCAGGGACAACAGATTCATTCTGTGTTGGGCTGAACTTTACTGAATGGACTTGGAGGAAAACAACTGCAAGTATATGGCTGATGAGAAACAATTACTATCAGGGGCATTCAATAAATGATAATTAGACTTGGAGGATGTGTCTGCAAACACAGAAATGTGATCGTAAACTTAATTTCACTTCAGAAATTCCTAAAACTAATTTATGGGCAATGCTTCTGTTTCAAAAGGCAGTTAACTGCATGGAGTGTGATGTCATAGTGTTACAAGGACATCAATGATGGGATAAGAGCATTTAGATAGAAGGGGCAGAGCTACACGTCTGTGCCAAAAGTTCCTGATATTAGCGAGGATGGCTCTAAAAACAACTCCAGGTCTGTGACAAATGAGGAACAATGTTGGAACATGTTCCAACACTGCTCTGCTTGCCCTCACTGTCTTTTTTCTAGAGTACTGCCTGTGTCCAATTTGAACAAAATGAAGGAACTAATCAACTGGTCCCTCAATGCAATTGATACTATTTTTTCATCACGTAAAGGCGGTTCTGGAGATGCCGCCTGTCTGGACGGTACGGCGGCTGCAGGGTACGTGTTCGACAGCTGCTGATTGTGTCACCCCATTTGGCTGTCGGGACTGTCCATTGAACACATCGAGGATATATACATTTTTGGAGGAATCTCTACTCTGTAAATGTATGAGAAGCTTTCCGCTGAGAATAAGGAGAGTTTTTGAGAGTTGACTAGGGTTGTGGACGAGAGTGCAATGGGGACACAACGGTGTGTGATACAGGTCGAACAATCTCTTAAAGATCTGGGAATGAGATCAATGGATGGACATAAGCGCTTGGAAGAGAGGCTGAATGAACTTGGGCCTCATGGCGGACTCTCACACTGACGTGGGAAACTCTGGATAACGGTTAACGGAGGGGATCCAGTTATGATATTGTGATCCGGCATGTGGGAGTGGACATTTTTTATGTTTTAATAGTTTGCAGTGATGTTTTTATATATGCATGAGTGTTTTTAGTGTTTTAGTATGTTAGTCCTGCTCCAGCTGGAGACATGCCACAGAGCCCCATGGACGCTGTCACCCAATCCTGTGCGCCACACAATTAGAGCACCTGTGCTTAATGAGGGAGCAGGGAATATAAGGGCAGGTGGAACACGCAGAGGGTGAGCAAAAGAACAGAGGAACAACGACTGGGGACGTGAGAGCAGAGGACGTCTGAGGGCAACGCGTTTGAGAGACCACGGCTCCACAAGACCGGACCGAGCAGCGACCCAGTCTACACCAGCGAGCCCTTTCCACGCAGCGGCAGAGCAAGAAAGCTCTGCTTCGTCTGTGAGTAACGCTCTGTGGATTAGCTGGTGCAGCCAGGAGAGCCTCAGGCCCCAGCAGCTGGCGAATGTTGTCTGTCTACCGTGTACTGGCTCTGGTCTTGTAGTAGGGAGCGTGGTGGACAGGGAAGCGGCAATCCGAGGAGGCACCTGACCCGGGGAAGAGCACCGTGACGTTGACTACACGCAGCGGCAGGGTGAATCCCTGCCGTGCCTGTAAATACCTATAGTCGTTGTAGCGGTGCTAAAAGATCATTTTTGTGGGGTCTGTTGCTTGTGTGTTCGGCTGTGTGGTGCTGCCGTTTCGTCCTTGTGGCCAGGGGCGGAGCTGGACCGCAAGCAGGAGACGGTGCCTGACTCGTGGAGAACGCAGCGGCACAGTGGATCCCTGCCGTGCGTGTGAGTGCCTGCCCGTTGTCCTCGTAAAATTCAGACGTGGAGAATTGTTCCTGCCGGTCTTTATGTTTTTGTGCGCAGGACCCCTGAAGACGGCCCCTCAGCGCTCAGGACTTTTTATCACATTTTAAAGACTTTTTAACTTTGTTTTAATTAAATCATTGTAATAAATTTATTTTTTAAGTTTGCTCTGCCCATTTTTTTGGTCACACCACTGCTCTGCCATAGCTGTTTTAATTCGGTCCACCACTCCATCATTCCCTCTTGCCTCCAATAATCAAACCCCCCATTACATTATATAATTTGGACTCAATTGGCTTTTAATGTTTACATGTACTGTGTCTCTCCAAACGATGTCTGGCTGAAATATGTTGGCTCTCTGCTGTTGCATAACTGTCATAAGGAGCGCGGAAATATAGTACGTAGCCAGCCTTGATGTTTATTCATTGAACTGAATTTCTCCATTGTGAGATAATAAAGTCTCTCTCTCTGAGTTTTATTTAACCAGTTGGACCAATGACTGTTGGCTGTTGTTTTAACTGTTCTTATGTTTTATAGATGTTGCCAAATTAACAATTAAATTAGCCCTGAGAAACGACGAGTAAAATAACTCTGCTACTAAGTGGCAAAGTGATTTGCATTCACAGCAATAAAGTAAAATTTTACCTCCACACAAAGCCTTTCTGTGTGGAGTTTGCACCATGTGTGAAGTGAAATTTTCTGTACTTCAAAAATATTATGTCAGTTTGACTCACATTTGTTCTCTGTTCCATCCATTTCAATCATCTTGTTGTCAAGCTGCTCCTGCTCCACCACGCTGATGCCCTGTGGACAGATCACGTCACACCACCGTTCTCATGTTAAAGTAACAGCAGGGGTGCGTAATTTTCTGTTTCATTAGTTTGGTGATTGTAGTTTGTCCAACACAAGTCAAATTTGAAGAAATCATGCTGTTTTCATCCAACACTCAACATGTTTTGAGTAAGAATGAGCCTTGTGATTCTCCATGGGTGGTCCTCCCTTTTAACTTTTCTGTCTGAAAATGCTGATCTAAAGATGTGACAGAGGCCAAAATACATGGTTAAAACTAGTTATAGAAGCAAACTGTTTTAGAGACTGGAACTTTAGACCTGAAGTTCTATTGTTGTGGTTTAAGAGTTATGTCCTCCAGCTTTAATATTATATTCATATCAAACTCACTGAGGCGATGAGCGCTGGGCCAAGAGCGTCGTTGATGTGTCCCACTGCCTTCAACACACCTGAAACACAGGTGTAATGTGAAGTCTCTAACAAAAACACAGGGAGGTCTTTAACACAGGTGTAATGTGAGGTTTGTAACACTGGTATAAAGTGAGGTCTCTAACACCCTGAACACAGCTGTACCTTTCCCCTTGTAGCGGCTCTTGTCACCATCTCTCAACTCTAGAGCTTCATAGATTCCTGTGGAGGCTCCACTGGGGACGGCTGCTCGGAATAGACCTGCGCAAACATTAACACAGGATTTCATTGTAGACTTTTTTGTGTCCCCAGACATGTGGTTTATTATTGTAATTTCTTAAGTTTTTATTGTTTCATTCTCTAATCTGCAGATCCGCAATTCTGTGACACTCTTTGAGATGACAGTGATTTTGGGCTAAACAAAAAGAAATGTATTTACAGTGAAATGTCCTACTATGTTATACCCCAGGTAGTGCTGGCCTGACCCGATCCTCTCTGTGGCGACTTCCCACATTCTCCAACAGAGGTCACTGTTGCTCATAGGGAAATGCAATGAAAAGAGTTGGGAATAGAGACATGGCAACATGGGTAGACACAGCCTTGATCTTTCAGTGGGGGGCTTCAGGCAAAGTTGGGTTAAGTGTCTTGCCCAAAGACACAACAAAAAAGACATCAGCGGTATAGTCAGTGGAGACGGTCTTGTGGTGTGCTTGAACAGGGCTTAATTTGTTACATTTGTGGTTTTCACTGCCTTGTTAAAATGCTCTACCTCAGCTGTTTATGAGGCCTCAAATCTCATTAAAAGTAACATCTATGTCTTAATTTGTTCGTAGTTATAATTTTACCGCAATTCACGGACTTTTTGTCAGCCATCTTGCTTTGCATTACATCTTAAACAGCTGAGGCAGTGCAAACCGACGTTACACCGACTCATATTAAGTTCTGGGCTTGGACCGACAACCTTCAGGTTTAAAGGCCAAAATTAATGAAGCCCAATAAAGATGTGAATCTACTCCACGTCGATCTGGCTCCTGATGAAAGTAAAGTCAGTAGCCGTTTGTGTCTCGCTCACCGTTTAGCACTCTGTTTATATTGTGATATTGTCTCTGTAATTCCAATATTAGAACGACTAACAACCACCAACTGACAAAAATTATCAGCTGCAAACAGACGTGTGATTTTAAACAGGCCTTGACATTAAGCTTTGTCAGCCCCTTGCCCTTTGGATAGTACCATTTACATGTATAGTTTCTTGCCCAAAGTCAAAAGTTGGACTGTTTCGGTTGGCCCGCTGGACATTGTCCACCCTGCAAGTTTCTGTCTACGTCACTCAGACAATCTATACACGCGAGTATAGGTCTGGGGTCGCTCCCTCGGGCGCATATCGGCTCCTCAAAATGTCCTAGTCCAGTACTTTACTTTTGTATCGAGATACACGCCCCACTTATGGTTCACAACGATTTGCACTAAAATGTTTTCTAAATCAAACACACTTATCAAAACAATCGGTTGCAAGGCACTTTTATGTTCATTTTTTCCAGCCTTATTTTTTTGAGCAATTTTATGTTTTATCAATTTCAGAGGATCCCCCATGAGCCTTGTGTGCTTGTAGGAAAGTGTACAAAAGCCAAGTAGAGAAGTACGCCCCTAGTGTTAGGTTTTTGTTGAGCATATTGAAGTACTTTAGCTTTTGAGCATGTAGCCATTGTCAGAGCAACATGCAGCAGCATGCCTGAGCCTCCACATTCACGTTGTTCAATTCAAGTGTGCGTTAATAAAGTAAGTACTATGTGTGATCTGTTGATATATATGTGCAGCTTTAGCCATATGTCTGTGTAATTAACAGACTTTACCTGTGTGTTCTTAAGTCTCAGTTTATCATTTGTGAAGTATATTCTAATGTCTATTGTTTGGTTTTGCTGCTAATATATAGTTCAAAGTTCATTCTTTTGCTATTTTATTATTAGTTATTGTGCATTTAACAATCTGCCGCTGCGTCTAACACCGAAATTAAAAGGCATGTCTGTAACTTTTTAGAAGCACCCAAATAAGTGCTATATTTTTCTAATATTGCATTACAGACCCGATTTATAGTATGTCTTGTTGCTACATACAGTTACTCATTGTACATTATCACACGATTATAACCTGTAAATAAACCATCTTAATAAATCTTCCTCCTCTGGACCCTGACTCTCTGACCGGAATCTTCCCGTACTGTTGTCGCCTCAAACCAGCATATTTCCCTGGAGGCTCCCCTTCAGACAATAAATAATGCATTCAATTTTTCAACAATAATTAAAGGAACTTGATCAACTTTACATTTATTTGGCCCGTGGCCCACTGGCACATTTTTACTTTGGCCCTTGGAAGAAACCCTGGGTTAAAGTAATACATCACTTGCCAGATCGGACAACTTGCTAAGACAGCGCATTTGTCCTTTTCCAAATCTTTAGTTGCCCCGGCCAATCGGACAACCGTTAATGTTGAGCCCTTTTAAAGAATGTAATTTCTTCTAAAAAATTACCTAATCAATATTTGTGCAACAGTGGCTCACTTCGTAGAGCATTGGCCTTTGAGCTTGAAGGTCGTGGGTTCTTCTTCTCCACCAACTCCTATTGTTGTCTTCTGATGTTATGTCATTGGGCAAGACACTTTACCCAACTTTACTTTACGTCTTTACAAAGACGTCATACTATCACAGGAGCTATTAGACAAAAGGGGTGGAGTTAATAGTGGATCTAAAAAACAACTCCAGGTTTGTGACTGATGAGAAACAGTGTTGGAACATGGAAAAAAGAGATAAATTGTTGACATAGCAAAATGTGTCTCCTTTAAGTGATGTTTAGTCTAAAGCTAACTCACTTTGTGATTTCGAAGCAGCAGTTTTAAACGTAAATGCTGCCCTCGCTCCTTCTGCTCCCATCCCTGCACTCACAAACCTTTCGCCCCCCACTAACCCCCTCCCTCTCACGCGCATGCTCATTTGCTGTTGTTTACGGAGCTTGTGTCTCACAATATAAATCACACATTTGAACGTGGATGGCGTGACCATAGAATGATGGAACCGGGAAGCCCGCGGACGAGACTTTCTCTTGGCTGTTTTGCTGTATAAGCAGTAACCGGTAGGGAAAACACGGGAATTTTAAGGTTAGCCTCCGCCATGATGCTTGTTTACCTCAGCTGTCTGTGCGTGCTAGCAAGAGACCTGTAGCTTTTCTCATGAAAGTGGGGGCCAGTGGTCCGCTGTGATTAGTCACAAGCTGGTCCAGAAACAAATTCTCTTCCGCGTTTCACGCAAACTCGGTCTACAATAAAATTACACTCCAGTACAAACCTGCGCTACTTATTCTTCAAAAGGATGTGTATCCCAATGCACCGCATGGATATGGATTGAATTTCCCTAATGAATACAAAAATAAAGTGAGTGTCCAGCTTTAATAGAGGTTAACCTTCTTCCGGTGTCTGATCATGCTTTGTTTTAAACGGTTCCTCTCTGACGCAGGAAGGTTTAAGTACAGTGATGATCCAGGACTTTTCTGGACAGTGGTCATCCTGCTCCCTATGGACCGATGGCTCTTATGTGTGTTAATATTGTATTTCCTGCGTTTCGAACTGTGTGATGGCTCCTATGTGTTTGTTATTATTGTATTTCCTACGTTCAAACTGTGTGATTCCTTGATCTGTTGTTGACGAATTGACAACTATGTAAAGTCCTCTGATATGACTGATTTTGAGATTTAAGGCTCTACAAATATGCCAAATACTTTTTTTGACTTTCCGCAACAGTCTCATTGCAGGTTTGAAGGACAGCTTGTACCTTTGTCTGTGCGCAGGTCCACCTCCACCGTGGGGTTTCCTCTGGAGTCGAGGATTTCCCGAGCGACCACACTCACAATCGACATCCTGAACAGTGTGGACACACACACACACACACACACACACACACACACACACACACACACACACACACACACACACACACACACACACACACACACACACACACACACACACACACACACACACACACACACACACACACACACACACACACACACACACACACACACACACACACACACAGGCACAAAAAAGATGAAACAAAGTAGTTGTGGGAGTTGGGAGGTGAAAAGGGATGCATGAATCAATTACATTCTGTGATATAGGTGGCTGTGACACCTATTTCACTGTCTGAGGAGTATTTGGACAGAAGGAGGGGGGGATGAGCCAGTGTTGATGGAACAAAAACAGCCGCAACTTCCAAACTAGAACTCTCTTGAACTGCATAAAAACTGAACAAAGAATTCTGAACATCAGCGGTGAGTGACCCTTACATAAATGCAACCTAAATCCATTTTTCGATCCTCTGCAAATGTGTCCTAAAATGTCCCGGAACGTACTTCCGGGTTTATCACAATCGCTTTTTCTCACATTAAAACAGTAGTTTTGTCATGAAAACGTTAACAGATCATTCTAAAAACCTCCGTGCACAGGTATTAAGAATGTATATGTATAATGTATTCTCCGATTAATGTTTAAATGTGTTGATTGATTGGTATTTGCGTTTGTGGAGTAATCTACACATCTGAATAACAAGCAGAGGGTGCGTTGCCATGAGCAGCGGTCACTTTTGTTTTGAGAGGTCAGTTATCAAGAAATAATGACTGGTAGAACGTTTTGAAATTGCTGTGGGAGCCGTGTAATATAACAAAATAAGCTACCAATGTTCAGCTATACAATATAGTTTTCCTTTAAGCAACAAAACATGAAGCTAAGTTCTATCACAAACAAATGTAAAGTTTCATTATAAACAAATTTGATGTTTTTGAAGCTACACAAAGATTATTAATATACATGAGAAATAAAAAAGGACCCAGAACTATAGGGGATGAAAATGACTACCTCCGCTCTGATAAGACCTCTGCCTCCCTTGGGGAGGCGGCCCAAGACGTGACAAAACTCTCACTCTGACAATTTGCATATTTCATATTTAATTTGTATTGTATATACTGCATTAAATCTACAAAACCACCTTTGTCTGAAAGTGATATTTGTGCTGATTTAACTCCAGAAATTAGGTCACTGATTTGTAAAAGTATTCATACCTTCAGATTCTATTGAAAAGAATTGGACTAACTAGCTAATTAAATAATGAATTACTCAAATGATTACTGAATCAATAAATGAGCCAATTAATAGATAACGTGACGTCATACGCAGGTTATCAGTTGTGATTTTTTCACTAGTGCCCCGAAATAAAGCTATTATCAATTAATGTATTTACTACATGATTGTTTTTGATCCAATTCTCCGATATAAAACAAATAACTTAAGTTATGTGTGATATCGACTTCAATAACCCCTACACAACACTGACCCCTGTGGACAGTGGGTCAAATGTCATTGTCATTAACTGGGAATCAGTACCACTGATGTGAACATACTGTCGGCTAGATAAGTTTGGAGCCAAGAAAAGGCCACACCTCTCATCCCATATCTGTTTTTGGAGTAGCAAATCATGATTCACTTTATCAAGGGCTTTGATTAGATCTAGGAATACACCAATAGCGTATTTTTTATTGTCTATGGCATTGAATATTTTTCTATAATATTCAATGCCATAGTAATATGCCAACGTAAATCAGAACTCGTCGCCTTATTCTGGAGTAGAATTCGGTGTGCCACAGGGTTCGGTACTCGGACCGATTCTTTTCACTCTCTACATGCTGCCGTTAGGAAACATTATTAAAAAGCATGGAATTAATTTCCACTGCTATGCAGATGACACACAGCTTTATCTGTCGATGAAGCCAAATCAGACAGATCAGCTAGAAAAGCTCAGTGCCTGCATAAAGGACTTCCTACTTCTCAACCCGGAGAAGACAGAAGTGATCCTACTCGTTCCGAAGCGCCTGCGTGACTCCCTCACTAACCAGATAATCACTCTCAATAATGTCAGTATTGTACCCAGTAACACTGTGAGGAATCTTGGAGTCATTTTTGACCAAGAACTCTCCTTCAAGGCTTATATAAGCCAAGCAACTAAAACGGCGTACTTCCACTTACGGAACATCGCTAAAATTAGGAATTTCCTTCCTAAAAGTGACGCGGAAAAACTTATTCACGCGTTTGTCACCTCAAGGCTCGACTACTGTAACGCTTTATTGGCAGCGTGCCCTAAAGCCTCTTTGAAGAGCTTCCAGCTCGTTCAGAATACAGCTTAACATCTTAACAGGTACCAAAAGGAGGGAGCACATAACTCCAGTGTTAAAATCCCTCCACTGACTCCCTGTGGAGTACAGAATAAAGTTTAAAATCCTTCTCTTAACATATAAAGCCATAAATGGCTTGGCTCCCTCTTATCTCCAAGACACGTTGGTGTCGTATCAACCAAGTCGAGCGTGAATTTATCGAGGCCCACTGAAGAGTCTAAGTGGGAAGTCACGTATGCTGCTTCAGCTCCAACAGCAGGAGTAACCTCCTCCAGTTTGTCACGGATGGATGTAATTTTATTATTAAAGAAGTGGAGAAAGTCAACACTGTTCAGTGAGCTTGGAATTTTAGGCTCGATTGCGCTATGGCAGTTTGTGAGTTTAGCGACGGTGCTAAACAAAAATCTACTGTTATTTTTATTTGCTTCTATTAAAGTTGAATAGTATTGAGTTCGAGCCCTGCGAAGGGCATTCTTATAGTTTCGGAGACCTGCTTTCCACTCCCTGTGGACAGGCTCCGAGTGGGAGTGGCGATATAGCCTCTCCAATTTTCTGACGTCCTGTTTTAAAGTGTGGAGTTGAACACTGTACCAGGGCGACGATGATCTAATCCTAATAGTTTTCTGTTTTAAAGGAGCTGCTGCATTTAATGCAGATTTTAAAGACTCCATAGTGTTGTCCACCGTTTGGTCAATGACTGAGGGACTGCAGCAGCTGTGGGCAGGTTCACCTGCAGCGGTATTCAACATAGGCTGTATTAGTTCTTTGAACCTTGTGATAGATTTATCATTTAAGGTTCTTTTCATTATGGTTTTATCTTGCGGGACAGGAAAGTCCTCCAAATCGAGATCAAACGTGATCAAGAAATGGTCAGACAGCAACGAGCTTTGACGCTGGATGTCAACATTGGAGACATCACAGCCGTAGGTCAGGACAAGGTCCAAGGTGTGGTTATGAATGTGAGTAGGTTCCTCAACATTCTGAGTAAAACCAACACCGTCTAGTACGGCGCTGAAAGCTTTGTTTAAGCTGTCAGTGCTGTCGTCCACATGTATATTGAAGTCTCCAGTTATAACTATGTTTTCCCATTTCAAAACTAGGTTTGAAATGAAGTCAGAGAATTCTGTTAGGAACTCGATGTAAGGACCAGGAGGTCGGTATAAAACTATAAATAGCACCACTTTTTGTTTTCTCCACCCAGGACAGGTGATTGAAAGTGTTAAGTTTTCAAACGAGTGAAAAGCATTGTTGGTTTTGGGACTAAGAACTAAGTTGGTGTGTGATATAATCGCAACGCCACCGCCGCGACCTGTAGTTCTGGCTTTCTGGTAGTTAACGTGCGTCGGAGGAGTGCACTCATTCAATCTAACGTAGTCGTCCTGTTGGAGCCAAGTCTCCGAGAGCGCAAACAAATCCAAGCCCTTGTCTATAATAAGTTCGTTTATGAGAAGCGATTTAGACGAGATTGATCTGACGTTCATTAAACCACATTTAACAACCCTACTGTTAGAACTATTTCTGTCTGTCTGAACTTTTATTAAGTTACTGTGTCTGACACCCAGGTCAGATTTCCTCGCATATAGTGCTTTAGACTTCAAGCGAGGAACACACACAGTTTCAATCTGACTAGGTTCTGAGGCTAGTAACTGAGCACACACAGGCACACACACACATGCACACACAGTTTCAATCTGACTAGCTTCTGAGGCTAGTAACTGAACAGATGGGTGCTCAGAGGTTGTGGCAGAGCAGCTCTGCACCCGGGCCTCAGTTCTGCACCGTCATTTGAGCCGGGCAGAACAGTTTAGAGCCAGGGCCAAATTCTTAGCCAAAAGGGATGTACCCGCCAACATTGGGTGGATATCATCCGAGCGGATGAGACCGGGCTTTCCCCAAAAGGCACTCCAATTGTCAACATGAACAACACCACTTCGAGGGCACCAGCCAGACAGCCAGCGGTTGAAGGCCGAGTGTCTGCTGAATTCTTCTGCACTGCTAGTGCTAGGTAGGGGCCCAGAGAAGATGACAGTGTCGGCCATTGTGCTAGCCAGCTTGCACACCGCGGCGACTTGCAGCTTCAACACCTCGGACTGTTTCCGCCGAAGGTCATTACCACCCGCGTGAATAACAATTCGACGGAAACGCTATCTTCTTCCTTATCAATCAATCAATCAACGTTTATTTGTAGAGCGCCTTTCCTACACAAGGCAACGCAAAGCGCTTCACATCCCCTATCACATCATGCATAAATCAAACACATTAAGAGCACAAGATATATTAAAAACATTAAAAATAAAATTACAAAAATTAAAAACCTTTAAACATTAAAATCACAGATGGGACTAAAATCATAAATAGTCACAGTGCATTAAAAAGATTAAAGATAAAAACAAAGATGAAAAGATAAAATCATTCAGTTGTATATGCGCAGCTAAACAGAATTGTTTTGAGCCTAGATTTAAAAGATGCCAGAGTAGACGCCTGTCTCACATCCTCAGGAAGATGGTTCCAGACTCTAGCTGCATGAATCTGAAATGCAGTTTGCCCATGTCTAGTACCGACTCTGGGCACTAACAGGAGTCCAGTCCCTGTGCTCCTCAGAGTCCGGGTCGGTTCATATGGCACAAACATGTCGTGGATGTACCTTGGCGCGAGACCATGGAGAGACTTGTACACAAGTAAAGCTGCTT